CCTACCCCCTGATCTTCACATCTTTGCTTTTGAGTAATTGTTGGCCTTCTGTTCTCTAAGCAGATCACCGATTTTATGGGTCGTACCCTTTAACACCTAACCCTAACCCTAACCCACCAGCCACTCCTCGGAAGGAAGGTTGGGCAATCCTACTTCCGTAGTGATACTGCCTCGGAAGCCCAAGGAGGGGTCGCTATGAGTCGGGTTTGACTCGACGGCACATAACAACATAACAACAACAACCCTTTAACAAACAACTACTATTTCACTAAAAGGTGATACCAGGGGAGGGCTAGATTCTAGGTTTAAAGAGCATCTGAGGGTGAGAGTCTCAGGGAGGCCTCTCTTCTCTACTCTTCCACTTTGCTTTTTTGTTTTTTCTTAAGAATTTTATTTCTTCTCCACATTTTTCTCCCATTCTATCTGGGATCATCTATTGTGATCTTGGTCAGAACAGTTAGTAGTGGTAGCTGGGCACCATCTATTTCTTCTGGTCTCAGGGTAGATGAGGTCATAGCTTGTGGAGACTTGTCTCTGGTCTGGGCTTTTGGTTACCTTCTTTCTTTTTTGGTCCTGATAGGCAGAGACCCATAGTTGTGTCTTAAATGGCCACTTGCAAGCTTTGAAGACCCCAGACACTATTTACTGGAGTAGGATGCAGCGCCTGGTTTTTGTAAACTATGTTATGCCCATTGACTGAGTTGTCAAGAGACTAAGATCCCAAGGTGTTTGGTTGTCTGAGGAGTGTTGTGTAGTTGTGTCTTCAGTGAATATATGTGCCGGTACCTACATATTTGGGTTTACAAAACCTATAAATACTTCTAGGAGCCCTCGTGGCACAACAGTTCAAGTGCTTAACTGCTAACTAAGAGGTCGGCAGTTAAAACCCACCATCTGCTGGAGTTCTGGTAGGTGTAGTGCTTAAGACACTTGACTGCTAACCAGAAGGCTGGCAGTTCAAACCCACCAGCCACTCCAGGAAGGAAGGTTGGGCAATTTACTTCTGTAGCGATACCCCCTCGGAAACCAAAGAAGGGGTCACTATGAATTGAGTCCAGCTCAGTGACACATAACAACAACATGTATAAATGCAAGTTATTTCATATTCTTACCATTCCATTTGGAGTACTCCCTCGAGTAATGCTTGCAAAGATGGCCAGGTAGTGGCAAATTCCCAAAGCTTCTGTTTATTTGGTAACGTCTTGATTTCAACCTTGTTTTTGAATGATTTCATTTTGAAATGGGTAAAGAATTCTCGATTGGCAATTGTTTTTGTTCAATATTTTATGTATGTTGTTCCGTTATCTTCTGGTTAGAGTTTCTGAGGAGAAATCCACACTGATTTTTATGAAAGATCCTTGCTGACTTGTATTGTGTTTTCCTCTTCCTGCTTTCAGAGTTCTCTCCTTGTGTTTGGTTTTCGAGACTTTTATTAGGATATGATGCAGCATTAATCCTTTTGTGTTTCTTCTCATTGGGGTTCATGTAACTTCCTATATTTGCAGTCTTGGTTCTCTATTCAGGTCTGGAAAATGCTCCCTGATTCTCTCTTGGAAAATCATGTCTATGCTCTGGAATTCCAATAATTCTAATAATCTTCCAAGGAGTGGGTGGTAGGTTTGAACCGCCAGCCTTCTGGTTAGCAGTCATATGCCTTAGGCACTATGCCACCAGAGCTCCCATTCTAATGGTAGGTTTCTTACTTCAATCCCATATGCTCATTTGGGTTTGTTTGCTTTTCTTGGTTCTTTTCTCTTGAGACTTTATAAGTTCAGTTATTTTTGTCTTCTAGTTCATTTATCCTATCTTCTGTCTTCTTCAGTTCCAGTAGTTCTCTTTGGTTTTTTGTTTTTGATGTTTTCAGTTTCCTGCATTTGTTTTCTGATCTGCACTAGTTAGTTTTCTGTTTTTGCTTCTTTAAACGTATTTAGCACCACTGTCTGAAATTTTTCAATTTTCTTCCATTAATCTGGACTCATAGGAGAAATCTTCTCTTCATGTTTCGCTTTTGATTGGTCCTTCTATTGTGATTTTGTGTGTTTTTCTATTTTGGGTTGAACTTGGGCTATTTTTTTAATCTTTTTTTTCTTTAGATCCTGTTTTCTAATTTTCATGGGAAAATATTCTAACTGGGCACCCTGGCGGTTCAGCGGCAAAGCACACAGCTGCCAACCAGAAGATCAGTGGCCCACACCCACCAGCCACTCTGGGGGAAAAAGATGTGGAATCCTGCCTCTGCAAAAACTCACAGCCCTGGGAACCCTGAGGGGCAGTTCCTCTCTGCTCCATAGGCTCACCATGAGTCCTAATCAACCTGAAGACAATGGGCTTGGAATCTTCTCCTGAGAACCACTAGAGGGCACTCTTATCCTCAGGTTTTTTTTCCAGTGCTGATCAGGAGTTCGGGATGCTTGATCTCTGGAATTCAATATGCATGCACTAAAAGGGAGCAGGACTGCCATGAGACACCTTAGATACAAGCCACACTTTCAGAGAGGTGCCAGTTCCTGCAGATAGGGACTTTCTCCTGGCAATGAGCCTTTCCTGGGAGGTGAGAGGTCTGAGTGGACATTTAACATTCGCAGAGCAGAATGCCATTTTTATGTAGCTGTAGAAGCAAAATAATATTGCAACCAGAATGATCCTTAGAAATCAGAATGGCAGGACTTCAGCTTGCTTACTTTGGCCATGTTGACAAAAAGACCAGGCACTAGTAAAAGGCATCTGCTTTGGTAAAGTAGAGGGTTGACAAAAATGAAGGAAGCTCGCAGTGAGGTGGACTGACACGGAGCTGCAGAAATGGGCTCAGACACACCAGTGACCATGACAATGGGGCAAGACCAGGCCATGCTTCGTTCTGTTGCACACGGGGTGGCCGTGAGTTGCAGCCAAGCTGATGGCACCTGACAGCACAACACCAGCAACAGGATCAGCATGGGGTTCTGGTGCCACTGGCCTCTGAATGCCTCCAGGCCCTGTCCAGCAAGGACGAGTGTCCATTTCACTTCCAGGAGGCAGAGCCAAAATGGAGACAGTCTTAGCCTCACACAGTGGGCCTCGATCAAATTCTGCTTCTTGCTCCCCGTGACCCATGAGAAGTTATCTGATGGCCCCGAGCCTGCCCCTAAAACCAGTCGTTGTCACATTGATTCCAGCTCATGACGAGTCCACGTGTCGCAGCATAGGACTGGGCTCCCACCGGTTTTCAAGGCTGTGTCTTTTTGGAAGACCTGCAGGCCTTTCTTCCCAGGGGCGTCTGAGTAATTTCCTACTGTCAACTTTTCATTTAGTCATCAAACACTTAAGCATTTGTGCTATGCCCTCCCAGTACATATTTTATCTACAATTAAAATATGTGATGCTCAGAGCCTGGCACATAACTGGCAAACCAGAAAGGAAGGCTGCTATGATTCCTGGCACTGTTCTCGGAGTTCTGAGAAGCTGCAAGGATTGCAGGATCACAGTATCCAAAACTTAACATAGCCAATGAGTCAATTCCAACTCAGAGCACCACTAGAGGACAGAGTGGAACTGCCCCACAGGGTTTCCAAGGCTGTCAATCTTTAGGGAAGCAAAGCCCAAACCACACCCACTGCTGTGGAGTAAATTCCAACTCACAGCGCCCCTAGAGGACAGAGTGCAACTGTGGGTCTCCGAGGCTGTCAGTCTACAGGAGCAAAGCCCAAACCAGAAGCTCTGCTAGCATGCCTATGGCACTTGACTGCTAACCAGAAGGCTAGTGATTCAAACCCACCAGCCACTCCTTGGAAAGAACGTTGGGCAATCTACTTCCGTAGTGAAACTACTTCAGAAACTCAAGTAGGGATCGCTATGAGTCAGGTCCAACTTGACAGCACATGACAACAACCACAACAAAACCCAAACCAACCACTGCGTGGAGTTGATTCCTACTCACAGGCATCCCTAGAGGACAGAGTGGAACTTTCCCACAGGGTCTTCAAGGCTGTCAATCTTCACAGAAGCAAAGCCCAAACCACACCCACTGCTGTAGAGTGGATTCTGACCCACAGCGCCCCTAGAGGACAGAGTGGAACTGCCCACAGGGTCTTCAAGGCTGTCAATCTTCACAGAAGCAAAGCCCAAACCACA